GAGTAATCTCATGACCAAGGAAAGTAACAGATTTCTGCAGGAAATGGCATTTTAGGCTTTTAGTTTAAGATTACTCTTGCGTAAACGTTGAAATACGGCCCGGAGGTTGGCATTGTGTTCTTCGAGGGACTGCCCGAACATAACTATGTCGTCCAGGTAAATGAAGCATTGTTTAAGGACTAATTCTGCAATGAGTCGTTGAAACGTAGCAGGGGCATTAGACAGGCCGAATGGCATGGTTTCGGATCCGTATAACCCCGTAGGCACAACAAATGCAGTTTCTGGTTCATCTTCCGGACGAATTTCGACTTGCCAATAGCCGGAAGCTAGGTCCAATGTGGAAAACCACTGTGCTCCACCCAAAGCATCTAGGGTAGCGTCTGTGCGAGGTAGTGGGAAGGAATCTCATTGACTGATTGCTTTTGGGCTGCCGTAATCAACGCAAAGACAGAGGGAGCCATCTTTCTTCTTCACGACGATGATAGAGGATGCCTACGGTGAAGTAGACGGTTATAATTACTCTCTTTCGTAACATATCTGTTATCATTGTGTCCAACTGTTGTTGGTAATGAATAGGTACCGCCGAGGTGGTGTCCTATTTGGCAAGTTACCCCCGTCTAAATCTAGTGTTGTACAATACGTGACCATCATCGAACACGTCACTGTATTCTTGCAGCAGGGTCAGGGTGTCGCTACGGTCTTTCAAGTTGAGGTGGGGGTTAGCATAGATGTTCACAGTAGTCACCTGAGGTAAAGCAGAAGCATTAGCACTCTAATTGTGACTAACTGATCGACTGAGTGAGAGGTTATGCGCCCCCAGCCGGATTTGAAAACGTCCTAGGTCAATGACAGCGTGTTGGGCGGTGGGGAAATCCACCGCCAGTATGACGTCCCGTTGTACAACCTCACACATGACAAACGAATGAATTCAGGTGAGCCCTTGTAGAGTCACGGGAAGTGCGACGGCGTTCGTTGCCTTGATGAGGGCTCCATTGGCGGTAATTAATTGTAGGCGGTTGGTGAGAGATTTAGGGTTGACCCCCGATCGCTGAACAAACTCTATGCGAACAGCAGAGGATGATGCCTTGGTACCAACCAGGAAAGTTGCGTTTACGCCCTGAATTTTACCTTCAAGGGTAAGTGGTGATTTCAAACATTGACCAAATAAGTATACATTAAGAGGTAGCTCACATTGAGGTTCTTTATTATGGCCACATTTCCACGCTTGGCGACCGAAACGATGGCAGTAATAACATTTGCTAGGGTCACTGTTTGGTTTGGGGAGAATGTCAGCAGACGGTGTAGGTTGAGCTGGTGATGGAATGTTGGGGTGCTGTTGTAGGGTGACTGGGACGGTTGTTCTGAGATCAGTGGTCCTAAGTGCACAACAGGACGTACTGATGGATGGCGAAGGCATGCGCTCTACGCTCTCGAATCGTTTGACCACCTCGAGAGCCTCTGAGATTGATTTAGCTGGTTGGCGGAGTAACTGGCATTTTGGCTCGTGCGATAGTAGACCTTGCGCAAATCGAGTGCATAGAATCTCATCTTGGCTCGCACTAGGCAGGTTAGACGAAGCTGATGGAAGTAGTCGGTAGCCGTTTCACCTGGTTCTCGACATCGGCTTAATAATGTGTGCATGTACGCGGAGGTGTTAAAGGTTTTTGCGAAACATTTCTCTAAAATGTGCCAGTTGTATCTATGCAGTTTGAATGCGAAAAATCCACCACCGATTGCACGCCGTAACGCGTCGTCACTCATTGCTAGCATGATATGATTGTACTGGGCTTGTGGAGACAGACCTGCGAGAAGAATCTTCATCCGAAATTTCCACAGCTCATAATCTCTGTTGATGTCCAACGGTGGTACTCGCACAGGTAAAATGTGTTTTGCGGATGGGAGATATGTGTTGGCTTTTCTGACTGGAGATTATTTCAGGAGGTTAGTATGAGTCTGATTTCATGTTAAGACTGGATTTGGGACACCTCCGAAACCAATTTGTAACAGGCAACCAGCAGGCACACAGATAATGGAAACAGAACCAGAACTGTGCAAAAAAGAGTTTATTCCACGAAAGTTGATTTTTAAAAAGTGCGGGGGTACAGTTTTAGGGTATAACAGTTTTCAAGTATTGGTTTGTGGGGATTCGGTTGATTGGTTACAGGATTTCATCATGAGCTGACATTGGTTAGAGAACCATTGGAAAACCTGGGAGTACTGAACAGCTGTTTCGTCCTAGCTTGGGACTGTTCAGCAGTACGCACCCACTGGGATTCGAACCCAGGACCTTCTAGTTACAAGGCGAGCTCGCATACCATTAAGCCACTGGGACCCAATGGTCCATGAATTCTAACTTATGCAAATTCACGATATAGTGCAACCGCTAGCCAATGTCTACGGAGAGTACTTGTCCACACACCTGACCTGCTGCACCCTACGGTTTTACTGGGCTTCATGTATCTCCTGGTCCAGGCAGTTGACTTCCGAGTGTCTTCCTGCAAGTAACGAAACCTTCCGTATATTCCGCATGAAGTTAACTGACTATAAGTATATTATAGATTTAAATTTAGACTTAAACCAATATCTTGTAACTTATTCAATTAAAAGGAAACATCACAAACTTCTTATAAAGCTTCTAGATTTTTTCCCATTCTTCAACTTTTAATATCATGACACAGTGTTCCATTTCAAACTTCACTTGTCAAATGTGATCATGCCTGTACAAACGGTATATCAATCATGTAAATGTTTAATTTATGTGAATAAAATATTATTATTACATGTGTGAATTGAGCCATTCTGTAAAGCAACAATATGCAGTTTGACTGTTGGAGGTTACAACGTGAGCTTCGATCCTGATATTAAACAATAACTATAATGGTTTGGATCTCAATAAAAGAAATAATGCTTCTGCTATAACACCAAATAATACGCATAGTCTCTTGTCAAGATGCGATCTCGTGAGCCCTAAAAAGTTTAGTGAGACATTTTATGGGTCACCATGTCCTACATGTTCTACTTTTTCGGATCTTCGAACCTACTTCTGATTAAACTATCACCTACACACTGCTGACTGAGCACTACTGCAATCCGCCACATCACAGGTGTCAAGGCTTTTTGTGAGGCCAAAACTTGTACTTTCCATATATATTCCATGCTTACTTGATATCTAATTGCATCAGAAGATAATTAAAAAGAATAATTTGCTATTCTTCATCGAAAACATCATGGTTTCGGCAGTCAGACCAGTTTGCTTGACATTATTCACTACAAACGTACATTGTTTTCCTCAGGAGCACATAGCTGCTTCTTATTTATTTGCATTAATAGTAATATATTACCTTGTGATTTATTCCAATCCGAAGTTTCTCAGAGTTTTCCTGAATAGCTTACAGCCCCGCGAAGAAATAGTATTTATCTAAATAATGATTGTTCATTGACTGACTGAAACTTACCGCAGGAAGGAAAACGAAGCTTGGGTTTCCGCTTAACCATTTTGATGACCTTGGTGACGGCTCTATAATTTTGCATTTATGTGGACCCATTTTAATTGCTGGTATTCTAACTTATCTATTGTGCGTCGGTGGCATAGCAGTTAGGATACTCGCCGACCATGCACATGGTCCGGGGTTCGATCCCCGGCCGGCTCACTCCTTTACCTCGCTAAGCCAGAAGTAATGCTTGTAAAGAGGAAAGGTTGGGCATGAGGCTAGCAACCCCATCCTGTAAAATAAACACTGCTACAGAAACTTCAAGCCACTAGCTTGAAGCCCTATGTTCCACTGGGAACGTGAAGGAAAAAAAATAACTTATCTATTAAATCTGTACTAGTTCATGGATATTTTCCGAATGTAATCTATGCATCGTCTGATCGTGCCTGAAACGTGGCATTCATTTAATTTAAAATGACTTATCGTATCGAAATATAAATTATTGCATGGGTTCTTGCGTCTCATTCTTTACTTCATATTGTTGCATTTTGTTGATGTTATTTGTATAGTCACTAGGAATATTCTTGTTAAAATCAAGATTTTGGTCAACCATGCAACTGACATGTCACGTTTTAACCAGCTAACAAGGGGAAGGATGACCCAGGTTCATACTTAATGTCTTCGGGATAAAACAGAACATCACCTACCTGATGTAATTGCATTGATGGTAATGAACTATGCATCAGCTCTATATCGTTCCTTTAGGACTTGACGGTATGAGAAAGAACGGGACCATTTCTAATATTCTCTTCTATTTTTTGTTTAAGATTTTCTCCCTCCACTCATATGGTCACTGAAGAAAGGAGAAAAGAATTGATCTCATGGAGCTAATCAATCACGTAGAAGCTACTATCCATTTCTTTTGATTCGCAATTAAATTTGATGTCGTATTTCGAGTGACGCCGTCAACTTTTGTTTTACAACCCTATATACTTGATGCCCAAGGGTGTTTTCAGCTTTTATCCTCATTCAAAGAAAAACAACTATAATCGAAGATATTTCATATGCCTTCATTTTTTTAGTCTATTTATTTGCTGACGTCAACGTCTTTCTTGATTAACAGCATGAAGGCGACTGCATGGCATACCCCGTTTTGAGGAGATGGAGCAGCTTTCTTGAATATGCCCGCTAATTGTAGATTGGTGGACGGTTGTTATGGTGGCTTAATGACAGATTACATATATTAGGCGCTTCCTTGGAGGGGGGTGGATTTTGATCTGAAATGTTTTCTGATGCACCTAATATCGGTGGCGCAATGCATTTTCTGCGTTACCTCAGTTGTACTTGTATCAGAAAACGTTGCTTAACACTGATATCAGCCTAATATAATGAATAAAAAGGGGCTGGAGTTTACAAAGTTGAGTCTCAGCACATGAATTATGAAATCATGCTGTTTCATTTGGCCTTCCTATTTGAAACACATTACTTTTCAAGGGCGGACCTGATGGCGCCACTTCGAAAGGTGTAAAACAGCTGTCTTGCACAACAGGGCTGCTGTACGGTCTCAAAATGTCAGGGGACTTCAATTTTCCTCCCAGTCAAGATTTCGAACTCTCTGTCGCTACCAGTAAACCAGGTGGCAAGAACTTTGTGAGTTTGTGTAAATTATGATCAAACCATGTTTATCATAGCTATCAACTATAGTTGTTTACACTGTGAAGTCTTTTATTTTTGTAGAATTTTGGGCAAAATTATCATCCAATATCATGCCGGCTATTAAAATGGTGTATTTTAAATTGATTTTTTCAATTTCGCTTTCAATACCCTCCCACTAGCGTTACCAATTCTCTCCTTATCCTCATATTCATCAATTAAAATGATATTAATGACCTGAAAACCTCCATAGCCTGTTGACAGGGCAAATAACAGAAAGCCTTGGAATGGCTTCTGATGAGTTCCCACCTCGATATATATGTAGCGTTAACTCTCAATGAAGTGAGTGAGGTTGAAAAACCGTCAAAACCGTCAACAACAAACTGGAATGCTTCTGTTACTTTAAGCTTAATTTGGAGTGAAAAGTAGTGAAGTTATAATGCCTTCTTACATCCTTTCATGTGTGTTATTATATAATTTAATTTGAAACCCTATGAGATAAATTTACCGCTCATCCGAATAATATTAGCTTCCCACAGCCCTCATTTTTTGGACGCTGTTACCTAATCCTTCTGTCTTCAACCTGAGTTAACACTATGAATTGACCTTGTATTGTCTTAAATGGTTGATTAAAGTTGTTTTCTTATTTGTGCGTTTGGCCCATTACTGCGTAATCCTCTTCCCAGTCAAAAACTTTACATAGTTAAAGGCACTGGTTGTAAGACGGCATTTTTCTTACCTATTTGTTCTAGTTTTCTAATGCTTGCTATCAAATGATATATAAATGCATGTGTATATATGTAAGTCCTTTCTTATTTACCGAACAAATCAGGCCATATAGAATAAATTTTAAAATATGCTTGCTGAGAAATAATTCGAAGTTTTTGTCAATACTCCAATTGTTGAGGTAACCCGACTACGGTTCTAGTTTTATGTTATCTCTGTGAATTCTGTTTTCCGCTATAAGAATTTGGAGATTTTAACCATAATGCTGTTTCTTTATGAAGGGAGTTGCTTAATTTTGAAAACGGTATTCGTATTTTTGCCTAGATGTTAGATACTAGGAGGCGATTAGCATTTATCTACATCTTATTTGTTATTGATTCTATCTACAGTTAATGCCTGACTGGTTTCAACATATTAAAGGTCAGAAATTCAAAAAGGATAAAACCCTATTTTTTCTTAGGAGACATGGTAATATTTTGAAGTGCAATTGGAGGTGCATACAGCTGCATTAAAATTGCCCACTGCATGTTTGTGATGTGGACACTGGCTGTCAGTTTTAGCTGAAGCGTGCAATCCAAAAAGAGGCCAAGCAACAGGACCCACATATGTTTAAGGATGTGGATACTACTGAAGTTTTGCAGAGATTTCCTTAATATGTTAAATAATGCATGGGATTCTGAGATACTCTCAACAGATTCCTGTGGACTTCTTGCGATTGCAGCTGCTAAGAAACAAATAATCGAAGTATCATAGCAAAAGTTAAGGTCCTCCAAAAGTTGACAATCATGTACGGATCACACACAGGAAATGCTATGAAATATCATTCCAAATCAAATCATGCCTGTTTTTTGGACTTGAAGAGGATAGCTGCATTATCCTGCTTATTTACTAGGTACTTAATCTGCTTATCTGTAGTTAGGTAGGGTTATGGAGTAGGTAGGAGGTGCCAGAAATATCAATGGATCTCAAAGCACCATGACATACAGTCACTTGGATAAATGGTACGATTTCTCTATAGATCATTTGTGTATTGACTGGAAGCCATTCTTACAACAACTATACTGTCAAGTTTGCAATATTTTCTAGTGTATTTTTCAACGATTATGTGACCTTTTCGCATCTGAGTTTTGATCGGTTGTTGAAGGTCACTGTGGTTTTGGCTATGGTAGTTTAACTTTGCCAAAAATCGTTTGTAAATAACAATAAAACTTGATGTTTTCGAAGTTTCCTTAGAAACTCGCCATAGTGAACATGAAAACCAAATAACTGGCTTTGCTTCCCTTTACGGTCAACTGAATGATGCCTTTAGGTCAAAGAATGTGATAGGCCTTTGTAGCTAGTGGGATTATTTTTGTCTCAAAACCTTTTGAATGGTAAATAGTCAATTAGTTCACTCAAGTGAGTCATACTCCTTAAGTTGTTCTTATTACGATAGGTAAACAATGGACAATGATATTTGTGTCATTCCTGTTGACTAGAAAACACGTTGATCGCTTAACGTGATGTTTGATTGATATTTTAGGGTTATTCGAAGCCTAGTTTACCAGTTAAACAACCCATGTCCGCTTACGTTGACTTTAATCCATGGTACGAGAGATGGAATCGCCTCAGTGTGGATGACAAGTGCGAACTGAAAGATATGGCAGCATTTAAGTCTGCGTGGTAAGTTGGAATACACTCGTAGGTAAGTAAATTATGACGTATTGGTTTTTGTAGATTTAACAGGTGAGCCTACAAATTCTCGAACCACATAAAGGTCTTTTCTTCGGCTATTACTTGTTACACGCTCCAGAATATACAGATATGAAGATCTCTGTTTGTTATCTTTATTCTATAACTGTATCACTCAAATTCTAACTATTCATAAGAAATGAAAATCTATTGTAGAGACTTGTTTTTTTTACTTATGCTTACGGTTTGCGAGTTGTGTGATGTTGGAATGTTGGTGTTTCTATAGTTGTTTCACCAGAGTTTCTTTAAACGCCAGAAATCTGTTGCCTGCTGAGAGAGTGTGTGCTGCTGCTGCTGCTGGATTCAACATAGAACTTGGCAACGAAGTGCAGCAGTTCGAGTTGCCACGTAGAGAGATTCTGTAGCACCATGTTTAGGTGTTGCCTGGCAGTTCAACCCAGTCTTGGGGAATAATTATTGAATTTCAGATAGTAATTGTCTGTTCATTATAGTAGATGTGATAGTGTGATTGCGCAACGTTGAAATAACAACTAAGCGCAGCGAAGTCTCTTTTCAACGAATTCATTGACTTGGCAGTTCAGTCGCAATTATATGTAATTATTTTATGTGTTACTAGAATACGAATACAAATTAGTTTGGAGTGTTGTTTACACCAAAATATTTCACAGTAGTGATGAGCAGCCAAATTGTAACTACACTTAGTTTTCTTAATATGAAAAACGTTTAGAATAGTTTGGATGTTAATGAAAGAGAATGTGAATAAGTACCAAAATAAATAATATAGTGGATGAAGAGGGTGAACAAAAGATAAGTTAAGAAAATGGTGCTAATAAACGTCATGCGAAAAAATGCACAAAGCAGTATGAATAACATTATGTTGAGCTTGGAATTATGCCGAAGGTAGAAATATATGGAGAAGTTTCTTCCGTGTACATAAGTCCGGGTTTTTCATCCAAATCACTAAGGACTAAGCAATGGAAATTATACGAAATCCTACAGTTTTTGGCAGGCCTCTTTTGACTTTGTGGTTAACTTTGAGTGAATTTTCCTTACATATTGAGTGGCCAGTGTTGAATATATGTTTAAATATAGCACTCCTTACTGGGTCATTGTGACCTTTCTGTAGTAAAGCGGAATAATGTTCTTTGACTCTTTTAGACAAAACATGCATTGAACTAATCGAAAATGCCCACACTAACGCCTCATAGATACACACATAAAACCCAAAAGCAACAGAGAAGACCCCATCTCTATGCCAAAGAAGATGCTTTACATCAGTGTGATCTGGCAGACATTAAAGAAGAGAATATCAAAGGCCATGGAGACAGCATTTTTTTCTTCTACATACTCACTCTGTTGTCTATGCTTCTTAAAGCAATATCTGAAGAAATGATGATTATAGTTCATATGCATTTTAATCGTACGTTTCATCAACACTATATTGTGTTCTGAAGTAGTATCCTTTATGTCCGTACATTAAGTGTGGGATAAAGAAATGAGACATACATAAAAGTTTGAGAGTGGATAAAGAGAGCATATAAGCATATGTGGTGAAGATATGGTGTGGATGCTTGTGCCTAGTGATCACCGTTATCTGCCAACTAATGCTAGCAGCACGACTTGGAAAACTTTATGACCTGGAATTCCTGTTTACGCATTGAAATTTGCATCACAATAACTACATTTCAATGTTTAGAATTAAGTAGTGGGCCAAATGTTTTTCAGTCCGCTGAGCTACAGTAAGTAGGCGTGTAAACATACTTTTCCTGATGCAAGTTACTGTCACTGCTCTCTCGTCAGCAGCACAATATCTTCTTCAGCCCCCTCCACCATTATAGAATAAGCCACTCGATTCGTAACAACTATTAGTCAGGCTTCCACGTAACTGGTCTTTATGCTTCAGTCGAACCTTCAAAAACATTACAGTCACTATAGCTTCTTGTGTCCTGCCACCATGTTAAGTTGCAACAACTAATCACATCTGTCTCACCCAAGAAATGCACTGGGGGATTGACAACCGAATGCTTGATGTTCTTACACATTTCTTTAACTTTGATAGTAATTTCCACTGTTTTCTAGTGGACACAGTGGGTTTTCTCCTAGTGCGCCTATTTTTTGATATAAATAGTCGTATCGATCACATAATTCGCTTCGCATATGTTAGATATAACTAAAGGAACTACAGTAACTTCACTGGTTTCCTAGCTAGTAAAGTTTTCGTAACCTTTCAGTCAGTAAGATTGGGCTACATTATCTACCACTGCTTTAGGTGAGACGAGGTGTGTCAGTGGAAAGGGCAGGTTGAGTCACATGCAATGTCTTCAAGTTGTTATTCATTGCTTGGCAAAGTCCGAGTTGTTTCTGTCTCCACTTGAGAGTAATTAAGCACTTGTAAGGTATGAGTGAGTTGGCTCCGACTTCAAACGTATTTCCATCGATTTTTATCTTCGGATAATGTCATCAGTCTTCGTAGAATAAGTGTCTCTCATTGATACACATAAAACCATATCTGTCAACTGACAGTTGAATTTGATTAGCAGTTTAATGTTGTTGTGCAGGCTTCCATTTGAAAACACATAAGAGAAATAGGCAAATGATGAGGCAATACTCATATGGAAGATGAATAATCTGTGTAGTTACTTTGGCAGTATATAGCGTTTCCTCCTAGTTGTATTTGCATTTTTTCAGATGGCCCGCCGCGAACAACAGTCAGAGCAAGGCTGTCATCGACCCAGGAGAAAGTTGTCAAAGTCTGGTGACGTAAGTCTCCTCCATTTGAGTTAAAAATGCTTTTCTATACTCTTAAATTATATGAGCAGTTGGTAGAAGTAAAAAAATGTCCTGTGCAGTGGTTTATTTCGAGTAGTACATTGCATGTGTACTTGACGTTTTTAGGTCTGAAGCATCCGGTATTGTCATGTTATATTGCGTAATTGCTAACTAAGACAGTTAAGATACCTTGCCCTCAGTTTGAACAAGATGTGCATCATCTACGATGATTGGAGTGATCGCCGTAGAATGAGCATGCTGTGCAGTGATGAATTGTCGGTTAGAGTTTTTATTGTATTCATAATGTATTGTCATGACTAGAGCTGACCGAATTTTGTGGCGAGAATTGTGGTCAATTTTACAACAAGCCACTACTAGTTTTCAAGTTTATTTTCATGACGTTTGTGAATGAAGTTGGTTACAGATAACAAGTGACATTGTCTACTTGTGCGTAGCATGATACTTGCGAATAACAATTTGACTTGTGTCTGTTCAATTATACGCTTCTATTTGTAATCACACTGTTTGTCCAGAAGTATTTCACTTTGGTTTTTTTCACATTTCATAGGACAATGTTCTAGGTATATCATGGAAAGAAGAACAAGAATTACGCAAAGCTATGTACGTTTCTTTAAGAGATCAACAGCAGTCAAACCCTGAAGCTAATACTTGTGAACGTCTTCGATCTTTGCGCTCCAGTTTATCGAGCACGACGCGCATCACATCACCTAAGAAGTTAAGGTCAAATCTTATAAAATCCCGATCCGCAGTTGACAATAAACTTGCGAGAAGAAAATATCGCTCAATGCCGCTAGTTGAAGATATCGACCTTACGGAAACTGATTTAAAAACAAAATTTCAGAAAAAAGAACTGTTAGAATCTATTCCAGTCAGCGGTGATAAAGCCAGTGTGAGTGTAAGACCATGTAAACTTCGTATAACTCAATAACTGTTATTACTGCGTCAGTTATTTTAATACCACATTCTTGTATATCATCTGTCCGCAATTTCTATTGTGCTCTTTTTAACCGATGTCCTCCTCTAAATGAATACACAGCATCTTCATAGTATGCTGTTTATCTGGAGTTGAAGTAATCGACATAGAATTTGTATTTTCAATCATATGAATCGATTGATTACCTCGATATCTGGTGTCCACACAATCTATGATTTGTGATCAGTGTGGTTAATCTTTAGAATCAAATGTACGATTGTTGAAGAGTGTTAATGAATATTATCTCACCCTTTGTCTACGGTTCCTTTATAGATCAAGTCACCCCTTGTGGGGAATCAATCAGACAGAGCCAAAATTCCACAAAACGCCAGCCTCATTCGGTTGCGCGACCTGCCGAACAGAAGAAATCTGGTTGGAAATTCTGATGTGGATAACCAAATGGGTGATGCTAACAGTTCCAACAGAAAGGCGTCTAATTCTTCAAGAGCATATGAAGAAAATGGTGGAATGTCTTCTATCTCCTCACCTGGTTGTAGTCATCGTCCTACTTCGATAACCGCTTCCAATAATGCAAATTCCGATCATTGCAGTGGAAATATTAGTGGACGGTAACTTTTCTCAGTGTACATTTAATATGTTCTTGCTGTGAGGAGGTCGAGTTATCTGGTTCCCAACTTGTGATAGAGTGAAGTATAAAACAATACGGTCTATACACTGGTCTATTTTACCTATATGTGAAGAATGGCTGATACATGTGGGAAGTCTGTATAGGTTGTAGACATTTGATTGGTATCTGTGATTCAGGCATCAACTAGGAAAGGTGTTGTTAAGTAAAACAGATGAAGCAGTTAAGGATGATGTGATACATCCTATGAATTATTCTATATATGGCATTAATTGTTTTGCCACTTCACATTTAACTATGATTACAATCACAAACATTTTAATTGCATTTCGTCCTATTAATATATTATTATGCATTGACAGCTATGATTCAATTCTCTCACCGGATATAATTTCTTCAAAGCCATATATGCGCGGTTGGTTGTACAGCTTGATAATAAATTCGTTGTTGAAAAGAGTCTCTTCGCTGACTGACTTGTTTCGGTTGTTTTATATGCCCCAATGGGTATTTTCCATGATAGACATCCATCATGTGATGTAGCTTGGGTGTGTCTACTAACCATTTACTTCGACGTAGTGTATTAAATGAAGTAGGATTAAACTGGTTGGGTGGCTGAGGTGGCTAC